GCCTCAACCACTTTATTCCTTTTTACCAGTTTTTTTCATAAATTTTTTTACAACGTATGTATCACGTAAACACACACTCCCAAATACAACACACAAGCACACATAATTCCATACAAACACATATACTACATGGAATTTGCTCAGTTCCCCACACTACGTTATTGTTTCTGGAAATTTGGCTCGAATGCACTGCAAAAAAAAGTCATCGTACGTAAAATATAGTCAGTTTTGCCTCTGAGTGGAAAAAATCGCAGATTTAGACAAAAATTCATGAAAATTCGGCGGATGATCTCTCAGAGTAAGATATCGGTCGCTAAAACAGAATATTTTTTTAACGAATTTTAACAGATTTGATGCAAAGGAATCTGACAATAAATACGATCTACCAGGACCAGTAAGGTCACACTTAATTTGTCAAGGCAACTCTGATATTTCCCTGCGCATGCATAATTTGATGGCTTCAAATTCAACCCCCATTTTTGTGTGGTTCTCACGTCGGACCCGTGAAATTTCTCGGCGGGTAAGTTGTCAACTTGGGAACCAGAAAAGCTAGGAAGCTGAAGTTTTAGGGGAATTCAGGCGCAGAAAGCTAGGTCATCTTTTCCTGAGTTGCACTTGTCAAGATTCATGCTTACTTGATTTCACTACTACGCTGGTCGTCTTTCTGTTTATAAGCATCACAACACCATCGTTTGGCCGCAAGTAAACAGCACCTGCCAGTCGCCAGGTTGTGTTTCTACTCGATCCCTTAACTACATCCGGCTTGCCATCCATACCTCCAGCTATGTGTACACAAAATTTGAATATTTTTCACTGCTATCTTAAAATCTCTTCATCGACCGCAGCATTTTGAGATTCCCACCGTTACGTCCCTTCATCACTCAACTTTCCAAAATCAATTTAACACTACAGTGACTCGGAAAGGAGATACTGTTTTTTTTTTTGCGAAAATCTGCAAAATGGGTGTGCAGTACGGCTCACTTTTTCCCCGCAAAATTTATCGCATTTTAAAGTAATCAAATTTGAATCTCTGGAATACAGAAGTATTAAATTCTGGAACTTTAGCGAAGTCCTGTGATTCACAAAGTAAATACGCAGTAGCACTATGCTATTGCCTAGAGATCCCAAATTCTTTGTGTTCTAAAAAGAAAAAAAGAATTCTGAAATCCTCAAAGAACGAGCAATGTTATACACTGTCTCCATCGGAATGAAAGCTAGCTCCATCAAGCAACGCTCAGTTCTCTTTTTTTCCCCCGCTCATAGTTCACTGTGTTCTGTTAAACAAAAATCATATCAGTCAAAGTGAACAGAGAAGATTAAACTAAAGTAGTTAACTTTTAGAGATCGACAAACATACAACAGCATTCTGCACTTCAGACTATGTGCTGAATGCAAAATGCAGCAATTATGGCTGAAAATGTCGCACTTCACATATCCAAAAAAAAAAAGAAAAGACACTTCTTGAGCAATTAATTGAGTTTTTTTTTTGATTTTTTCGAAGCAATTTCACGCTGTTTGCTTGGCTTTAAGCATACAAAAAGCTTTGTGTTCTGTAAGTTCTTCAATGACATCAGTCATGATCTCTTCTGCATTCAGTCTCAGTGGGAGCAGGAGGCACCCAAATAGCAGCACATAGCAACAGCAACTACCCGCTGGAAAGACTGCCTGTCTCGTTCGATAGGCTTCCTTATAAACTGATGGTGTTTTTGACTTCATGCGCCAGTACCAATTTACCATCAAAACGAATGAATGAGTCGTAGAGAAATCGGTTGCCCCACTTATTGGCAGAGCCGAACTCATAGGGGTGAAAGCAGAGCTATTTATCATTGCGATTTGCCCGAATAATTTATTGTACGTCTAAGCATGCTTTCACAAACAACTGGAACTCCTCTCACAACAATGCTTTGAATTCCTCTCTATTATAAACCAACTTCTAGAATTACCTCGTTTCTTTTTTTCACTGAAAATCGAACAATAGGGAATAAAGCAAAAAATATGCATTTATAAAAAGATTTGCAGAATTCAGTGTGCTCCTGAGAAGTGGTCAGTCCTATTAAACTTGTCCATGTGGTAAGGAAGAATGTGAAAACTGAGTTACCATGGGGGAAATTTCATTGATGGGCCAATAATTTTATTATACACTAGTAAAAATTTAGCAGAAAGAGATAACCGTGGGAAGGAAAACTTTGTTGGAAGGTGAACCAATTCGAAGAAAAAGTAAATTCGAGGCGAATACGCTCAACACGACACATTTTACGCAAAACTGGGAGCAAAAATGTGAGAAAGTCTCAACTGCAAAAAAAGCCGCTACCACTTTCACAGGGCCACTTCTTACCGCCGTCAAAAGTTAGGTAAATAAACCGCTCAAAAAAAGAAAGAAAAAACCGGAAAATTATTACCTTACACCACCAAGAACACCACCAGTGCCATTTCTGTTTGATGACGGCTTCCGAAGATAAATAACATTAACTCCCTCTGACGCGGACTTCGATGCAGCTGGGCTGAAAAACAAAGATCCTCAAGAAGACTGTTAAAAAGTGCAGCGCCATAAACCACTGATTGATGAGGACAGCACTGATAAACACTTGCCGACAAGACAATGCTAAAAAAAGGCTAATAAATCTCCTCGAAATTAAAAAAATTTAAAAGTCGTTATCGCTAACAATCCTAAAGCATCGGCGAAAAGCATTTCTCAGAAATGAAATTCACTTCAAACATTCCAGTTCAGTTTTTACTTCCTTTTAATTATTATTTTCCTTTTTCACAAACTTTTTCATAACTTCATAAAATATTCAAATTTTAAATGAAACTAAGATATTGCAGAAACGGCGTACTTTTCGCTTTCCTTGCTCTAATTATTGATCATTAAAAAAACAACTAAGTGCACCTAACACGTAGTATTTTGCTTCACTTATCTTTTCCCACGCCTTGCGAATTCCGCCTCCATCAACTTCTACTTGCACCCGTTCTCTTTAATCCGTATTATCTTTGATTAGGCTCAGCTGACAATCAAAAATGGACAAAGATAATGGTGCGCATTCTCGAATAATCAAAAAAAAAACGTAATTTTCCCGTTACGAACCTCCAATTTTTGACATCTCTTGACCGAAAACAGCTACATGCGCGGGAATTTTCGCACCCATAGGACGCTTTTAGGGAAGGTCTCACATATCTCTTTCCCATTTAATTGTAAACTCATTCTCGGTTTGACTTTAATTAGGGCCGATTGATGCCAGTGCAGAAAACAGCCTTCTAAAGAAACTAAAGGGAACATTTTACTTAGACATATGTAAGTGTTGTATAAATTTTAAAGACACAAATAGTGAATATTTTTGGCAAGGAGATTGTTTTGGAAAAGGACAGTGGAAGAGAACGGGGGCCTGAAATTCTCTGTGACGTAACACCGCACATAAGGAATGTAAGGAATATGTTCCAAACACGTCGCATCATAAATTTTATGAATTAAAAAGGTGCAGAGTGCTCTCTAAAGAAGGATTTTAAAGGGCCGACAACACATGCAAAATGTGTCACCACGCTGTACATAATGATACCCAGTGAACAAGCGGCAATTATCGAACTTTCTTTAACACAATATCAAAGACAAAAAGGTTTTGAAAACGAGGAAAGCACCTGTCACTTTCATCGATATCCTTGCGAAAAGCGCTGAGTTTTTTTCTCAGCGATCTGCCCATTGTGGTTGTCCATGTTTTCGAACTTGATGCGACGGTCTTTGCCTCGGCTTCAGCCTCATCCTCCTCCTTACTGAGCTCGTCAATCTTCGTGAAACTTGCACTCTTCCTGGAAAAAAATCAACTTTCTCTGTGGAAATTAGAAGACAAAAAAAACTAAATTAGCTTTTCAGCGAAATTAAAATATGCCTTAAAAATACTGATATTTGAGCAAATAAGCATTTTATTGCAGAGAAGTGCAACAGAAAATCGACCGATTTAGCCAGAGCATTTTGTAGAATTGCACAGCTGCCCCGCGGAGAGAGTTGCTCCACGTTTTCAACAGCACAGCTCCCAATAATACATCTTTTTTACCCAGTAACATAGCAAATAACACTAATAGGCCATATAGCTTTTCTTTTACCCTTGCTATCCACACAAATTTTACACTATAGCTAAATTTCAGTAGTACTCTGTGTATCCTATTAATGTTATATCCCCGGTTTTTATATATGCTGATAAGCCTTTTAGCCCGCCATGCAAATTTGTGGGTTGTACTACAAATCCTAGCATTAAAATTTTACAATATTTATGCTAGGATTTGTAGTACAACCCATAAATTTGCACGGTGGGCTAAAAGGCTTATCAGCATATATAAAAACCGGGGATATAACATTAATAGGATACAC